TGGGGTTACTATTTATGCACCATACCTGCAAAAAAGTATCGATAGATTCACAATGAGAATAAAGCACTATGCCAAACAATTGAGGGACTGCAATTACAAAAGAATGAAGTAACAGGTTATCACATCACAGAAATCCAATCCACAATAAAAAAAATCCTTCTATGACTGCTTGGATGACGAGCGTCTCAATCAATTCTTCAACTTTTCAAAGCAACCAAACCACCCATCTCTTCACTAGGTATTAACCATTCAAAAGACTACGCACCGGATAGTCTGCCAGGGTATCGATCGAAGGGGGCGTGGCCGCGATGGATCGCTCCCTGCCACAACGGCCAATGGCACATCACGGCCCGAGCGATGGATCGCTCGAGCGATTCGTCGCTCCCGCAACTGGTGCAAAATCGCTCCAATCGCAAAGTCTGAGATCGGCCGATATCAACTACATATTAATCTTGTTCCATGCCAATCCACCCTAATCCGGCCTCCTCAACTTGATTCTTCATGAAAATGTCGACTCATGTTGTGAATGAAAGCGTAAAGCCATAGTTCCTTGTAAAACAATGGTTAATCTCAATCTAACTCACATAGCCGAAGTTCGAGCCAGCCAGACATTAGAATATCATGAATATAGATTAAATAACTAAAACAGCTGATTTGACAGCCTCACGATATCTCATTTGATCAGTCGTCATCATGCTCTAGGAAATTTGCAGTCAGACGTTTTCTTACATAATACAAGTTTCTGGGAGCGGTCGTTGCTTGGAAGTTATGTCCTTGAACTTATTACAGAAATAGTTACAGATCGGGAATGTTCCGTCGATGTCAGAGCTTGCAAAACGATTAGAAAGTTATATACAAGAGTACAAGAAGCCTGAGCGGTGAGATCGTCCTGTAGTTCAAGCCGTCTGGAAAGATTTGTTGTGCAAATATCTAGCTGTAGGGTGTTGTATTTTCTGAGTATATTGTGTTTCTTGTGTAAATAGGTTATGTGTATGAGCAAGAACCGATTTCAGTATGAGCGTTACGGCAAAAATAAATATTATAATAGCTGCTGAACTATGAACAGAAATCATAATTAAATAGAGTTCATACATACATTACCCTCCAACAAAGTTATCGGATTAAACGAGAGTCAGGTGATAAATCAGATGTTCATGCAGAATTTCGGACTATTTTCCTAATGATTTCTCTTCTCTTCACTTTTTTCAAACAGCTTCAGAACTCAACTCGTCTTTTAGTGTAACAGCCAAACCAGATTTTTTTTTGAGTTTCTAGATAACGGCAGCAGGATTTTTCCATGGATTGCTGTCTGGAACCCCGTTATTCCGCGTGGGATGTCGGTATACCCGTGTTTCGAAGTCTCGGTAAGCCCCTATGACCCCAAGCGTGGCGAGCGGGATAGCCGACTGGTGCAGGTCTGTGTTGCGTTCAACCTCTGGTAAAGTGTGAAGAAGAAATGTAGAAACTGTTATAAATACAAAACAACACAAAAAATGGTTTGTAGCCTGATCCTGCTTACTATGACACAGCTTGATTGCCTTTTCCATGCAGCGGGAATGCAGTCTGGTTCAATAGATTCAAAAGTGTATAGTGCCTCTTGCTAACGCTGTGCCTTCAAAGCGATGACTATAGAATATGAACGCTCAGCTGTCCTACACGGATTCTGCTAATTTTTCTAACTGTTTTTCCTCTTTGTAAATTTTTTCTTCTGCCCGGTTTAGAAAAATGCTAAATGTTTTTTTCATCTCTAGCCGATCTTACAATTAGAGCCCAGCTCGAGGTATTTAGAAAACTGAATTTTCAAAAAAAAAGCGAGTTGTTCTTTCCCGTTATGGCCGGTGTTTTTTTTAGGTTCAAAGTATGACCTGCGGCTTTAGCTTTTCGTTGTAGCGCGCTTTTCGAGCGCATTCAATGAATAAATAAATTATAACACGTACGCTTTTTGTCGCAGTGCTTCCAGGAGCACTCTTTCTGAGTTATAAGAACAGAAGCAGTCAAACATGCGTTCAATTGGGAACGATTTCTGCAGCTACAATTGCTGCGAAGTGTTACGGGAGAACTGCTCTGAAGAGATCTTTGACCACCTCTCACATTCGCTCTACAGTGAATAATATAAGACCGATGCCGAACCTTGCGAATCGAGCGATTCACTATTAGCGATTCGCAAGTCTGTCATCAGCCTAGAATGTTTTCCAAAGACTTCTCAATAAGTGACAGTGAATGCGCCGACATTTCCGACCTCATATTTCCCGTACCACAAATTTCATTTTCATGGTAGACATTCGACTGAAATACTGCTTTCCAATTAAAAAGCCACAATGTTGGAAATGAGGCTTCACTATGCTCACATCCTGAACTAGAAGGCATCGGAACCGACGTTCTTTAATCAAACCAGTACGATTTCACTGCACATGCATACATCAAGTACAGAAATACATTAAGTTATCGAGAAATGTGCGGGATGATCGGCTACTTTTCTTCGCTTTTCGGTTTCTCTTCTTCACTCTTCTGTAAACAAAATGGATTTTTGAGAACAAAAAACACAGTAATCAGGACATACCTTTTCACCGCCAGGAAGATCGTCAATGATTTGCCGTAGCAGTTCTGGATTATTGATCAATTCATCGAGATTATCCTGAAAGCGATTAAACTAAGAAAAAACACTAAGTCTTCTTGATGTTGTTGTTCCGCCGTACAGGTTGCTACGATGGAACTCCCTTATTCGGTCGACGTTATCGCATACATTATACGAAGTTATACGAGCCACGTGCTCCCCGTTTCTTCGAACAGTTGCGGAAAAAAGCACGGAGAGAGGAAAATTGGGAGCACGTGGCGAGACGAATTGTTCGAAACGTTGACCGAATAAGGGAGTTCCATCGTAACAACCTGTACGGCAGAACAACAACATCAAGCAATATTTCAACATGCCCAAGTTTCAAGAAGACCGAACATGGAATCTACTAAGTCTTCTGCAAAGATCGGATATAATTACCACTTGCGCAGTGCTCACATCCATGACCTCCTCTGCAGATTGCGCCCCGGTTGTGGTTGAGCAGCTGGAGCTGAAAGTGAGCAAAATGATGCATAGATTTACCCTGTCAACTTTTGCAATTTACAGCACCTGGCACAGAATCTTGCATGGACATGCGCAACGCCCATTCCAACTGCTGCTCTTCTGTCATTTCCCCCATTTCCATATCCATGACGTCAACATTCTGGATAGAATAAGGTGCCATTGATTCAAAGATCACTCTACCTCCACGCTAAAATACCTGTGCCTGTTCAGATCCTCCTGCAGGCTCAGCTGCAGCGGTTCCACTTGCAGCGGCAGCCGCAGCAGCTTCGGCAGCTTGTCGAGCTCTTTCTTCTTCCATAGAACAACACGCAGGCTGTACATATCTCGAAAAATAATTCTCTTCTCAAGAAAAAAAAAAGACATCGACACTGAATGGACTAACCAGAGCAAGATCAGGATCGTCTTCAGGGTCAACTCCAAACTCGAAACCGCCAGTCGCCCACTACTGGCGCATAACTTTCCATCCTCCTCCACACAACAGCAGTCAGACGAGATCATGCGCTGCAGGGTAGGACACACACGACTCCGCTTGTACTACAAGAAGATTTGAACGCTGCTCTCTGAAAACGAGTAGGGGAATGTTGGTTTGGCAGAAGTTATACGAAACCGTTATATCAATTCACTTACTTGCCGTTCAAAGTGTCCACAAATTGGCCCATTATTTGAACTATTTTCGAATCGGCTTCACCGAAACAGATGACATCGCATTGAACCTTCTCCTTTTTCAATTTCTTTGCGATTTTTGTTAGCTGCAATAAAATACTTCAACAATGAGGAAAGGGCTCTCCAATTCTCAACTAAGAGCAATCTTGTTGTGATTCAGTACCTCAGTAGAATCGAGATTATCAATCGGACTACCAATAAACATTACGATGCGCATCTTATGATTACGATTCTGACGATGTTTCAACGCCAAATGAGCTATTTTAATGGCTGACATGAAGTTGCATACTCCTCCCTAAACATTCAATGTTAAACAAACTTGAGCAACAACCAAACAGCTTAAATGCAGTGGAAAATTAGAGTGAACAACCAAACGTCGACAAATTTACGTTTTACATGCAATACTTAAATGGCCGCGGAGCATCTATACCAATGACCAACAAAACAACTTAATATTAACTTACCTGAGGTTCCAACTGATGCAGCTTCATGAAAAGTCGTCCACTTTCCTGTGTCATAGTTGACAGAACTTGAACTTGACTGAAATGTAGTCAATCACTTTCCCAATGATTACCATAGAGCGGGTGTCAAAGTTGGAGATTGTTCGATCGCTGTAGCGATTGCACGGTTGTGATTGTGGGGGTCTTTATTGACCCGTATGATTTGAACTGAGATGCTCAGCAATTGCGCTGCCGCTGCCACGATCGCACAATCACTGTGTCTGACTTTCATCTACTACCCCTCTCACATTGCGGCAGGATCGGCAATGGGTGTGGTTTACTAGAACAGGAAGCGAATGTTCCGCGATTTGTTCCGCAAAACTTTTCTCGCTAC